AAGGGGTAGAGATGGGATAATGCGTTTGCTGCTTTTCTCTATTATTCAAATATCCCTGGGAGCTGTTGGCATGCATTTCATTTTTCAGGTTTAAAGTCAACTGCTTTCACCTCCAGCATCTGTTTTGTTTTTTTTTTTTAGCTGCCTGTTTGTCTTTTATTTTCTTATAGCTTTATTTCTGTGCAACAGCGCTTTAAGAGTATTTACAAACACGTGTTTTCCAACACATTCTGTTTTGAAGGGAGTGTAGGCAGTGCAAGGTTAAGACCATTTGTCCTCCCCGATTTGGTTGCGAAATTTGCGAGTGTGGGGCTTCATTGCCGAGTCGCATGGCAGAAGCAGCCCAGTGCTTTGGAGAGAGCACTGGCCTGCGAGTCCACTCAGCGCGAGGCCTCATTCGCCTCACTTATAAAAAGAGAGTCAGATTTAGTGATCCTGGCCAGCTCCATGTAGGGCAGCCAGCAGATCCTAAAACGTTCCTTGTCCTGGTTGAGGACCTGCTTCAGGATAGATCCCCTTCAGGAGCCCCAGAACCAGGCCCTGGTGCACCCTGAGTGAGGCCCAGGCATGGCGGGGTCACCTGGACCGGAGCGATGCCCTGATTCCAGCCTTGCTCTCACGTTTCTAGCCTGCCTGCTCCCTCCCACACCTCCCCTCCTGATGGCCAAGATCCATTCTGGGCGACTAGGAGATGGCACGGCAGAGAGCCAGGTGCCCGTGGGGCTCACTGTCTCCAGGGCAGCTTGCCAGCCAGCCTGGCTTCTCGAGGCCTCCCGCATCCTGGGCCTTCCAAGACCAGTCTGGCTGGTTTGCTGTCCTTCCCCTCCCCGGGGCTGGACCTCCATGCCTCCTCTCCCTTCCGCTTTTCCCCACTTGCTCTTAAAGCCAGGGTTTCCGCTTCCAAATTTTGGGGCTCTCCTGCCTCAGCTCAGACTGCATAGAGAAGCAGGCAGTCCCCCAAATCTAGCAAGGGGCCATGTGCCCTAGAGTAGGCAGAGGGAGCCGGGAGCCCTCAGACCAAGGCCGGATGCAGCAGTGGACAGAGCCCAGATAGGGAGAGGGTGGGGCTGACAGGAGGGTCCCCCACTATACACAGCGTTGGTCAGGTCTTGAAAGGGATATTTGGGTAATAGGGCCTTACTGACATCTGATACTAAAACACCTAATCAGCTTGGCTTTTCTAGTGTGTCTGCTTTCTCCTCCCAGCAGCTTGACCATACCTTCACCCTTGACCCCTACCCATGATGCTTTGAATGTCTGTTTTGGTCTCTTGCATTTGCTCTCACGCTGCACTTGGACGCAAAGCGAAGGCTGGGAGTAGGGCAGACGGCGCGGCGGGTCACTGAGCTGGGGTGGAGCCTGGCTCGTTGGTCCGTAGGTAGGCACCCCCTTTTCTCTGTGTCCCCCCTGCACCTCCCCTCCCCGGGGCTGCCCCCATCGGCTGTGGCAGCAGCGGGTCGCTTTGGCATTTATATTTATTGATCAAGTTTTGGAAAACCAAACCAAGTAACACCAACCAAACCCACATTCAGAGCCAAGAGTTATTTATTTTTTTTAATAATAAAAAAGTTCCTCTGCATTTCCTCAGGTTTCTTTGTTGGGACTTTTTCTCTCCCTGCCCTTGGCAAGCTCTGTTGCCTCAGGTGTGGACAACTCCAGAAAGGCTTTCTTGGTTGTCAGACCCCCCTGCCCCCCTGCCGTGTGGACCCCCGGCCTGGGAGGCAGCCTGGGCGGGCTTGTCAGGCCTGGAGCGAGAGAGGCGGGAGGGTCCTGGGAGACCAAGACAACCCGTGGCTCCGTTTCGTGGCAGGCACACCCTTGTGATGGCTTTTGTCTTCACTCTTCCACCTCAGGGTGCTGGCACGAGGCTGCGGCTGGCTTTCTGGGGTCTGATGCAGACATTCCGACATCGGGAACCCAGAGCCAGCCCTCCCCCAAGGACCGAAGCGTCCTGGGTCGGGGAGTTCTGGAAGTCTCCACACCTGAGTGGCCCCGGGAAGGCTATCTCTAGAAGGGAAAGCTGGCCGCACGTCCAACCCCGT